TGGGGGGGGGGGGGTCTTAATTCATGGGTAGATACTTGAAATCTATCGATAACATCTTCTAGTAAATGGGCCTCATGTGTTTCTGACTGAGTACCCTTTGTGAAAAACAAACAAACAAAAAAACAGGATAAAAAGGTCGACCAAGAAATAACTGAATTGGCCATCAAACAAACCAGATTTCAGCGTCAGCTGAAAATAAACCGCGTTTGTAGCACACCCGTCATCCTGGCGGCAAGTTCAACAAAATCACCCGTGTTTGTTGATGTATGATATGTATTACTATCTGGCGTTAAGCACGCCCCCGGTCCCGTGGTCCAACACTGAGAGGTTTGGCTTTAATTGTGAAGAGGTGCGGGGTGTCTTTTAAGTCTGGAAACATCCACTCCTAAATAATTATAAATTCAGCCGTTTAGGTTTGAAGCCAGAAGCACTCTTCTTTGAAGGGCAGTAAGAAAACAATACGTGAAAACGAAATCTATTTTTTGCGGGATAGGCATTTTTTTTCATTTCTACTGGTTATAACTTTGGCGCAGGTACTTAATATGATCAGTTTTTATAGTGATTTTTTTTCACTTTTTGCAAATCTGTGCATTTTTTCTGTTCTCCTTTCATTTTCTACTTTACTCAATGTACGCCTTGCCGTTGTCGGTGACTCAAAAGATAGTTTGAGTCTATTCACCCCATTATATGTTTTTTTTGTCGTTTAATCGAACTTTAATATAACTTCTACTCTGGTCGTCTTATAAATAGAGAATTGATGTAAATTAGCCTCAGCTGTTACTACTATTATGGCAAAAACGACGGAACAAATAAGTTTAGTATGGCCGTTCCTTTTCTTTATGCTTTATATATCTGATTCGCCCACAGCAGTAACAAATTACGGTATTTATAAACTATGTGATAAAAATGTGAAACGTTCCAAGGAATTCGTTCGTGTTCTGATATCATTGAAAGGGGCGAAATCAGTGACTGATAACATGTGTGCTTTGTTGAAACTACTGACTAGGCGTATCAGAGATAAATTATAAAGGTATTTTTTGAATATGTGTTTTTTCAGGAGCCCATTTTTAATGGCGGCTAAATTTATTTCGATTCTTGGTAAATTAAATCATGCAATTGATCTGTCGATGAAGGCGTCAATATTATATTTGCTCCTGTTAAGTCAAACTGTGACACCAGGGCGGTACCTTTGGTGTAGGGAAAGCCGTTAAAATAAAATCCACATGCTAGTGTGCGAGGAGTCCCTTCTTTGTCTTCAAAGATGTGGAGGGGAAGGTCTGAATGGGAACTGGGAACGATTGTACGAAAGTGAAACTAATACCTGAATAGTTATTTCCGGGATGTCATTGCATCATAACTGAACGAAACCTGAATCGTAACTCAAGCCTGTCTCAGGCAGGTGTTTTGTTGTTGCTCCCATCAGTACATACACAGCTGTGAAGAAAAAATTCTAACATGCCCATACTTACAAAGGTAAGCCTATAAGAAAGATTTCACAAACGCCTTCGTTATTAAAACATCAGTGAAAATTAAGTAAGAAGGCTTGGATTTTCCATTCCATTAAATGGGTTATCGTTAAGGGCTTCGAGGAAAGTAAGGTCTTTCTTTTTCTTGTCCAAAATTGACTGCCTGTGAGTGACTGATTCATCTGAAAAGTTTGTTAATTTAAAAACAATCAAATCGAAGTCTTGATACGATTTATCTGATTAATCAATCACGCGACTGGAAAACAAAGGGAAAACATCGAAATGTACAAGTACGTTGAATGTGTACTGCGTATTTTGAATCCCTGGCTAGCATTTAAATGCAACCTTCTAGTGCGAAAAAGTTATCGCTCCTGTTGCTGTTAATTAATGCTAAAAATTTTAAACTAAACTTAATTTCATACTTAAAGCTCTATGGGCAAAACGAGTATGTGCCTCAGACTAAATATTATGCTTTGAGTTGCAACTATTACGACTGATTGATTACGGCCGTTCCGGGTGGGGTACGGTTATGAAATTAATCTACTCCCCGATCGGTATAACAAAAGGCGATCATCAGTAGCTGAGCTATAAACTCAACTATGATTATCGGTATCAAGTCAAGTTGCTAGTTTGCCTTTGTTTACTTTCTAGATGTGTGCTTACGCATATAGCGTGAAAATGTTAATAAACTTAAGTAGCGAGTTTATACTACAGCATACTAATGATCATCAATAATCTTTTTTTTCTATTTTTAGCTTTTCGTAATATAGTGTCACATCCTTAATTCCTACTGGCTGCCAAAGTACTGTCGCGCTCTTTTAGACTTATAAGCAGTACTGTCGCAGACTGGAGTTAACGTGTGAGATGCCGAAGATAAAATGGATTACTTCATCTGTAAGACTTGCTTGTAGTGATCCACAGTTCATTCAGCAATGGCAGTTGCTCTAGACCCCAAAGAAGTGCTTCGTTCAACGGATGGAAAAGAAAATTTTCAACGCCTCACAAGACTATTGATAGGTGGCGGCGTCAGCCTGTTTAGGGAAATTTTTGACGCCTTTTGTCCGCCAAGCCAGCTTCCCTCAATACTTAACATGCCTTCTACATGGACTAATCTACGCGCAGCAAAACTTATCAAACCACAGAGGGACTGTCTAAATCCGTCCCCTGGCGTTTACGGCAAGTCAACAGACTTTGATGTTACCCTGTTGTTCCTGTTGCTACGGTCAATATGCGGCGTGAGCCCTCCTGCCACGGGATGGGATGCTTTGCCAGTGAGTACAGACCACAGTCTAACGGCAGATTTAGTCAGAGTAAAATACTACCGAAACTCGATCTACGGTCATAAACAAGACATGGAGATCTCAAATGAAGAGTTTGTACGGCTTTGGCAAGAGGTTAGTGAAGCCCTTGTACGACTTGCAAAAAGCATTAGTACTGAGAAGGAAACTCAGTGGATAGAAGCCATTAATGACTTTTTGACGGATCCTCTTACAGAAAAGGATAACAGAAATGTTCAAGAATTGGAGAGGTGGTATACAAATGATATGGAGGTAAAAACATACCTTCAAGAACTAACACTAGGAATTAAAGAGGAACTACAAGAAATCTCTCAAGGGATCAAAGACTTGCAAAACGTCCAAGAAGAAATAAGTCGACAGCTCAGCACCCAGGTTCGCTTCCCAAGGGACAAATCCAGGTCCTTCTCTCACTGTTCTCAGTTAACTGGTGGTAAGTGATCAATTATATTTTGAGACATTTAGTAGAAACACAAGGACACCTTTCTGGACAATTTCTTCTCTGACTTCGCTGTTGAAAAAAGAAAATTTTTCTCAGTAGTCTCGTCTTCTTTCTTTAGAATATACTTTTACTAGTTTTATCCATTTGAAGGAGAAAAAAGGCTCAGTCGGTTCTTGTTACCAAGATGATCCATCCAACTAACATATATATAAACAAACCTTATACAATTTATATGGCTGTTGTTTTAGACATTTTTCAACCTCTGAGTCTGCGAAAAAAGGAGAATATTATTTAACAACTTGGTCTCTAAACCTAACAAGTAATTTCCTTTCAGCCCCATTACGAATGCTTATTGACTGTGAAACCACAGATTCTAACGTACGGACGCAAGAAGTTACAAAGATTAATAAAAGTTCACAGAAACCCCAAACAGTGCCGAAGCAAGTGGCGTCGATACCATTTGGTGTCTGCTCAAGTCAATCACAAGGACCACAAGCAGAAATCGATACAAATAATCTTCCCATTGAAGGAGAGAGAAAAGGAGGAACACCCTTGACTGAAGATATGTTGAATGTAATTGCTTTTAACTACCGCTTTCAGCATGCTGGTCCATCTGAGGTGGAAGAAACAGAGGGTGTTTATCGAAAGTATCTTGAAAAGGTGCGCGAAATTGACTCTCAAATACAAAGCTTTCGTTTAACAATTACATTGGAATGTGGAACCCTCCAGTTTCTGGAAGAGCTGTGGTTAGACTATTCAAAAGGCCATTTAAACGAAATGGTGCGCACTTTACTCGTGACAGAAGGGATATTGAAAGATTTCGGCCTCGCAACGGTAAAGCTTTACACCACTATTATGTACGAGGAATACAGAGCTTGTCGAGAATACTTCTTGAACCGAACAGGTATGTTTTCACATGTGATCCCTACATGGCCGGTTCAATACGGCTAAGTTTCATTCTTTCGGAATTAGCAGCGTTCAGGAATTAGGCTCGCTATACTATGATGAAAATAAAGCCTGCCCCAGCACAAATGTCACTTAGAACACAATTTATCCGTGTGAATAATAATAATAATAATAATAATAATAATAATAATAATAATAATAATAATAATAATAATAATGTTTACAGGGAGCTCACTTCACAAAGCGTGATATTCAGTGAGGCCCTGTAAAACAATAGAAAAATAACCTGATCGACGAATACGTAACAGTAATAATCCCCATAATAAGTAAAAAGTTAAGAACTAAAAACTTAATACAAGCTACAGATTAAAATGTTAAAATGTCAGATAGATTAAAGTATAAAAAGCTATAAAGTATCTAAAATATACAGCCTTTAATGTTCTGTTTAAAAAGATGCGTCTAAAAAAGAGAACAAGAGAGGAGGGGAGCTTTCTTACAGTCATACGACGAATACGTACTACTGTCTCGCATTTTGTCTCAGCAGAAGAACAACGAGAAAGATTTAAAGTGGAAAAACAAAATGAAAAAGAATTCCTAGAGAAAGAAGAAGACGAAATAGAAGAAGTTCTGGAAGGTGCCTCAGAAGAAGAACAAGGAGAAAGACTTAAAGTGGAAAAACAAAATGAAAAAGAATTCCTAGAGAAAGAAGAAGACGAAATAGAAGAAGTTCTGGAAGGTGCTTCAGAAGAAGAACAAGGAGAAAGACTTGAAGTGGAAAAACAAAATGAAAAAGAATTCCTAGAGAAAGAAGAAGACGAAATAGAAGAAGTTCTGGAAGGTGCCTCAGAAGAAGAACAACGAGGAAGATTTAAAGAAGAAAAACAAAATGAAAAAGAATTCCCAGAGAAAGAAGAAGACGAAATAGAAGAAGTTTTCAATGAACTCAATGAAAAAAAAGTTCGAAAAGAAGAAACGGATATATTATCTGACAAAGGCTTACAGGAAGAAAGCAAAGAAGAGGAAGAAGAAGAAGAAGAAGAAGAAGAAGAAGAAGAAGAAGAAGAAGAAGAAGATGATGATGATGATGACGATGACGATGAAGATGAGGACAGTGATAGCGAAGATGATGACGATGACGAGGACAATGACAATGATGACAATGATGATGATGATGATGATGATGATGATGATGACGATGACGATGACGATGATGATGATGATGATGATGATGATGAACAGCAAGAAGAGGAGGATAAGGAGGAACAGATGAAAAAAAAGAAAGAGAGCATAAATCGATGACGATCCCTTAAAAGTTCGAGGGTGGATATGACATATTTGAAAACGTATATTTACCCGGATTTATGAAAACCTCGTTGGCAAACATTTTGTAATTTCTCTCAACTTTCTCGGTATTGGCTTGTCTATATTGTGTTGTTTGTTTATGTTTCACCTTTTCTTGATTGTTTCGTGGTAAGGGATTTGGGTAAAAGTGGCTGCTCCTTTTGTTACCCCCCTCCCTCTTAATAGTTAATACGATATATATTAAGCTAATACGATTCGCGAGCAAAGTCTGCATCCTCCAATATCTCACCGTATTCTCGTTTTATTTGTCTAAACGGATCAATCACATGATCCGGGCTAAGACAGAAAGGTAAGGATATTGTACAAGTCTTTGGCCTCGAAAAGACGGTTTTAGGAGTCAATCTATTGGGCAAGAGCAAAATTGCTAATGAACTTTGAGCTGGGCCAGTCCTACTGGTGTAAAAACAGAGTCTATGCTTGTCTGCCTACCGGGTGACTGTACATCGGGAAACTTGAATAAGACGAGTGTGAGAAAAATGTTTTCAGGTGTTTATCTACTAAAAGCCTGCGTTTTTGCGAGTTATTTGATTTTAGTAAAATCCAACCGGTGGTCTATTATCAATGCTCCGTTCTGATTATTTGAGCTACTACTAGGCTATATGTTAAAGCCCACTACTAGCGAAGAGCGCCTGCTTTTTTGCGGCAAAAAGGGATTAAAGTCTACCTTTAACTAGCTAAAGTTGTTTTGTCTCGATATTTTTGACCAACTAGTGGGATTTTACTAAAACAATTATTCATCTTGCCTCATGGCCTCTCTGTCAATAGCCCATTCGGCCTTCGGCCTCACGGGCTATACTCAGAGCCCATTCGGGCTCAAGGAATAATTGTTAAATATTTCGCTTGTGTTAAACGTGAAAAATTGCGTGGTTGTGGATAGTCTTATCAGTGCCGCAAAATTGTATGATAGTGTGATTTCCGGATGGTGTTGACAGGCGGAAGCTGTGCACTAGACTAGTCTGTACCAGGCTGGCATAAAAACGCTCCGTCGGTGTTAGCTTAGGTGACTGTGCCTTAGAAAACCAATTCTTGACTCAGAAAATTGGTTCCTGGTCTAGTGTCGGCAGGCATAATGACTACGAACATTAGGGTTTGGATCAGATCAGATGGCAATAATTTGCGTGCTACGTTTCAATGTTTATTGCCTATTCCATGCGAAATCCTGTCTTTTATACAGTGTTTTATAGGCCCGAGTAGTGTTTTGTTAGCTATTTTAAATAGGTAACACATTAACTTAAGAGTTCATGAGTGTTTATGTACTTCTCAACTGGGCACTTTTTGACTGCTTTTCACTGAACTTGAGAGACAATTTGGTCAAACACTCTTGAAATTTATAGACTGAAATGACACCGTTTTGAAGCGGAGTAAGATTACTTAAATGTTCTAAAATTTGCGTCATAGCTCTCTCCTCCGCAGAGGCTCCCGCTGGGTATCCTGGATCTTGGGCATCAGTACATTCCATGACATTAAATAACCATGTCACTCGGAGGTCTTAAAGTTGTCATGGTTTAATGCCCAGCCTTGTTTCTATCAGCCTCAACATTTTTATCCGAAAAATACGAGTCTTGAAGTCTCTGCATGCTCGTAGTCACGTCTTTATTACTGACGATAGAAACGTTTCCGAGATGATTTTATTACGGCCAGCTTGCGCGTGAACCAGAAAACACATTTTGTGTGAATATTCTTTGTTCTTTGAGCCAAGTATTTTGTTAGTGAAATTATATTACAACTTCACTCGATAAACTTGTATTGAAATAACTTTGTACCGAAAAAAACCGGTAACCTGTGTAAGTACCTGTTGTCTTGCAAACTCTTATAATGAAAATCGCACACACTCCATGACTCCAGCTACTTATTTGATTCAGTGTCCTTCGGAAAATCCCTGAAAAGAAGAGAAAAACTTACGGTTCCCCAATAAAATTCTAGACTCTTCACAGCTCTTGAGTTCTACTCTAAACATCACACAGGAGGGATGCAAGGAATCGAGTGCAAGCACAAGGGAGAAAACGAAGACCCTGGTCGAAATTTTGTATAATTGAAAATCGTCAGGAGCCGTGTTGCTTTAATGTCTAGAAGTCGTTAAAAGCAGTTTCCAGCGGTTTCCAAGTGATTTTGAGGGAGTCTTCGTTTTCTACACACCGGGGGAGGGGAGGAGGGGGGGGGGGTTCAGGAACAAAACCCTGGTTAAAAATTTGTTTTATTTTAAATTTGAAGGAGGGGGGTTGTTTCTTTAAACCCTTAATGTTTTTAAAGTCTGTTAAAGCAATTTCCCACCGTTTTCAAGTGGTTTTGAGGGGGGGCTTTGTTTTTTAACACCCGGGGAGTATAATTGAAAATTGTCAGGAGCTGTGTTGTTTCTTACACTCCTTAAGTGTCTAGAAGTCGTTAAAAGCAGTTTCCAGCCGTTTCCAAGTGATTTTGAGGGGGGTCTTTGTTTTCTACACACCGGGGGGACTATGTAGAAAACGAAGACCCTGGTCGAAATTTTGTATAATTGAAGATCTTGTTTTTTCTTACACTTCTAAGGTCGAGATACACGTTTCTAGATATTTATTAGTGATTTATTGAAGGGGGTCTTCGTTTTTGGGTCTTACGTCTTCGTTTTCTACCCACCCGTACAGAAAGATATCTAAGTGCCTCAACTTAAAATGTGGAACTTACATTATGCAGTGACTGAAGAGTCTTCTAGTTCAAATAATTCTTTAATCCAAAAGTTTCCATCTATAGAATCCAGATCGAGAGACTGTTTTACCATCGATGAGCACGCCGTACGATCCGGTATGGGATGTCCTCGATGGGTACTCTAGTTGGAAATTGAGAGTCAACACGAAAAAAAAAACACTATTACGGGATTCTGTAAAATTAAACAATGAATTATACATGTAACTTAACCACCCGCGGTAGAGCAGCAGTTATAAGTTCAATAAAGGTAGGTGCCCCTTGGGGGCTTAAAACCGTGACCCCTTTGTTGGACCGAAAACCCTTCCCTGTATAGGAGAAACTCTGGCTTCGAAACCACTGCTGCATGATGCTTTAAAAATTATAGTTTCAGATTTACATGTTCACAAGGTTAAGTTCCTTTCGAATAAATACCTTCATGTCGTAATGCTCGATCACTCTAATTCACGATCACGTGATCATGATAAGGGAAGCCAACAAATGCCGGCGAAATATTAACAAAATCCGTATTTTATTATAGATCTTATTATATATAGACAAGAGTATTTTACTGGGAACTAAAGCACTATAGTAGAATCGTTAGGACCACATACCCGGGAACCCCCTGGTGGTGTATTTTTCGTCTGTGAGTGGCCATATCGAGAAACGACGTCACGATTCTTTTCCACCTTTTCAAATTTCGCTGAATGAACCTAGTTTGCTTGTTCAGTCCGTAATAATGGGCACTTAACGGTTTGATATAGGTAATAGCATGATTTGTAGTGATATTTGGCATAAATTTCGAAATTGTTATACGTAATTTGAAATTTGAGACAATTTTGAAACATCACGAGACAGTGGTATTTATGCCAAATATCACACACATATCATGCTATTATTACTGGGCTGCTTGTGCGGCCCAGTCATAAAATGGGCTTTCGGTCGGTGTCAAAAAGTGGTCTCCCGGGGGAGGGAAGACACGAGGGTCTGGTACCGAGAAACGATGTCCTCACAAACGGTTTCATGTGAGTTTCTCTTGCACGGAGCCTTGCACGGATACTTTTTGTACCTTGTCTGCGCTGCCCCTGAAAAACCCACAAGGCGTTGCGAACCTGAAGAAGGCTATTTGCGTTGTTCCGAAGCGATTCGACCATGAGAGTCACTCTATAATTACTGGGCTGCCTGTGCGCCCAGTCATAAAATGGGCTTTCGGTCGTCGGTGTCAAAAAGTGGTCGCCCAGGGAAGGGAAGACACGAGGGTCTGGTACCGAGAAACGATGTTCTCACAAATGGTTTCATATGAGTTTCTCTTGCACGATCCCTTGCACGGATACTTTTTGTACCTCGTCTGCGCTCCTCCTGAAAAACCCACAAAGCGTTGCGAACCTGAAGAAGGGTATTTGCGTTGTTCGAAGCGATTCGATCATGGGAGTCACTCTATAATTTTTTTATTGTTCGAGTTTAAGTCAGTTAGATGATGTTGGCGCTGGGAAACTCAGAGAAATGCTCGCGTTGCATTCAAACCGACACGCTGTTCACGGTAGGTTCACACTAAAAGATGACTGTGAGCGTCAGGTTTGGAACGCCGTGGCCGCTTCGTGAACTCAAAGAGAGAATTATCGATCGATGTAGTACATGAGCAATTAAGAAGCACAATTTATGAGCAAGGTATTTCACCAGTTGACGACACTATGGCTGAAGACTTGATTGTAAGCCTTCGTAGTCAGTGAAGCGAACAACTCAGTTGCCGATGAATGGCACTACGCACGTCTATGAGCGAGGGACGTGACAACTTTGCCATGTTAGAAGACTGGCTTTTCCTTTAAATATTTCCTTCTATTTAATGCAACACACGCCACTTTGGAGGTCTAAATTTCGGATACTGAGGATAAAGAAGACACGGACAAAAATAGGGACTCTGAGAATTTCGCGCACAATGCACAAGTTTAAAGCTTCACCGGAACATCCCATCCGGGAGCTTCACAGAGAGCGACTTGAGGAAAATAGGAGCTATTACTGACAAGGTTTGGTGACTGAGTAGAGCATACAAGTGTAGCCCACGTCGAGGTTTCAGGGGGTTTGCTTTTGTTTGTATTTGTATCTTGCTAAGCTTTTATCATTAAATTTGTACATGATCTTGTGATCACAATTCTGTGTTTTCGCCCATTCAGCAAGCACGCTATATTGATGTCAGCATTAGCGAGTTTCAGAAACATGCCTTTGAAAGTTTTCAGCTCTCGTGATGTTTCTTGATATTTCTTTTACCATTTTATGAAGATGTT